CTTCCTTCCTTCCTTCCTTTGCAATGTCCCTCAGCTCTTCAGCTCAAAGCACTCTACCACTTGAACCTCAGCGCCACTTCTGGTTTTCTGACTGGTTTATTGGAGATGAGTCTCATGGACTTTCCTGCATGGGCTGGCTTTGGACTGTGATCCTCAGAACTCAGCCTTCTGAGTAGCTAGGATTTACAGGCATGAGCCACTGACGCCTGGATTTTTTTTTTTTTGGTTGGTTGTGGGGCCTGAACTCTGGGCCTGGGTGCTGTCCCTCAGCTCTTCAGCTGAAGGCTAGCACTCTACCACTTGAGCCACAACGCCACTTCCGGCCTTTTCTGTTTATTTGGTGCTGAGGAATCAAACCCAGGGCCTCATGCATGCAAGCCAGGCACTAACACTGAGCCACCTTTCCAGCCCTCTTTTCTCTTTTTCTCTTTTCTTTCCTTCTTTTTGTGCCAGTCCTGGGGCTTGAACTTAGGGCCTGGGCACTGTCCTTGAGCTTCTTTGGCTCAAGAGTAGTGCTCTACCACTTGAGCCACTTACAGCCTTTTCTGACTGGTTTATTGGAGATAAGAGTCTCAGGGACTTTCCTGCCTGGGCTGGCTTTGAACTGTGATCATCACATCACAGCTTCTTGATTAGCTAGGATTATAGGCATGAGCCACTAGCACCCAACTCTAGCTCTTTCTTTTCATTGGTTCAGTGAATCAATGAGTGACAATTCATATAAGTAAAGCACATAAATCCTAAGTGTATAGTTATGAAACTGTGTAACTACCATCTAAACAAAGATATGAACATTTCTGGTATCCTAAAAGCATCTTTACCTTTGCCTGCTAGCAGGGAACTAGCATTTCATTAAATGGCCAAGCATTTAATTTGTTTCTTCTAGAAACAATTGCTATTATAGTGATTTTATATAATGATTGTAAATTTTTTATAGTGAGTATTATATAGCGAACTCTACTATTCTGACCTTGATAAATGATGGATGAGAATTTTCGTATGCTACCCTCAGATGAATGGAATATTCTATGCAATATTCATACGTTGAGTCTATGTTGAACTGTAGTTTTTTTCTTTTTCTTTGATATTTATTATATGAATGTTGTTCATTTTATCATGAGCGAATATTTGAGTTATTTCCAGTTTTGACTTTTAAGAATAAAGCTTTGTGGGGCTGGGAAGGTGGCTCAGTGGTAGAGCGCTTGCCTTGCATGCATGAGGCCCTGGGTTCGATTGCTCAGCACCACATAAGCAAAAAGAAAAAAGCCGGAAGTGGCGCTGTGGCTCAAGTAGTAGAGCACTAGCCTTGAGCTGAAGAGCTGAGGGACAGCGCCCAGGCCCAGAATTCAGGCCCCATGACCGGACCCCCACCCAAAAAAAAAAAGAATAAAGCTTTGTGTATTATCAAACACATCTTTGGTGGATAAAAGCACTTATTCCTGTGTGGCATATACTCAGGGTGGAATTGCTAGATTAGAGGATACACACATGCATACACACACACTCACATACATATGTGTGTGTATATTGTATTGATAGATATGTATAATTTTGCCAAGAAAGAGAAACTAATTTGTACTTCTACAAGCAATGAATGAATTCAAAATTTGTAAAATGTATTGCCACTGGGGAATATTCCATCCTTTTATTGCAGTTAAAATCCTAAGTAACTCAGGATTATAGTAGGTGTCTAGACTATTATCCTGGTGCCTGCCAGAGTATCTTGAAGAAGTCAGTACCAGATGTCACTTTCTATATGGGATTTCTCATCTCTGGTTGCATATTGGAATTGTTGGGGAGTTCATATAAAGAATATTTTGTCCTGGGACCTACCAAATAGCAATTCAATCAGAATCTCTGGATGGATTTTGGGCACTGCTAAATTTAAATAGTCTGGTGAGTCTGTTGGGCAGCTATGTTTGAAGCCAGTGATTAGCATATTAACCAGTCTAAGCTGTGCTCCTTTCTTGTTAACATTTTTAAAAAAGAAACTGAATTCTAACCTTACTTACGGAACTGTAGCCACTTTGTATAACTATATAATAATAAAAAACTTAATTTTACACCAGACTGATGTGCCTTATTAAATAGAACAAAAGCAAAACAACCCTTTATTGCTTTGCAGAACAGGAGTTTGAACTCAGAGCTTTGCACTTGCTATGTTGGCACTCTATCACTTAAGTCATTCTTCCTGTCCTGCTTTTTGCTGATTAAATGCAGACTGCTAAGAAACAAAGCTGACTTTGTATTGTATAATTTTCTTGTTTGGTCAAGCATTTAATTTGTTTCTTCTGGAACTTTAATATCTATTTCTTATTTGTATTTACAAAATGCTCTTAGTCATTTCTGATATGTTTCTCCCAGAGCCTAATTTTGGCATATAAATGAGACTAGAAAGTGTGAACATGTAACAACAACCTTTGAAGGGCAGACTTATTTCTTTTCTTCCTGAATGTTCTAGACCCCACAGAATTGCCCATTCCCCTACCCCATGCTTGTTACTAAGCAGGACTGATCTATCCTGCTAAGTCCCATTGAGGTAGTGAGTAGTTGAGAGAGACATTCTCCCATCACTCAATGTATGAATGACACTGGTGAAACTCCTTCCCCAATCTCCCCCTTGCATTATTCATAAAGTTGCTATGGATCCACCCATGAATGTTATAGGAAAGAAACAGGGTCAGGCATATGCATTTTTATTTGTGATAAAGTTAAGAAATGACAGCAAAGGAAATATAATTATTTAAGATACCCCCTTCATAGTCTTGATGATCCACTTGAGATAGTGCTTTGAGAGAAGCGTGTAGACACCAGGTGCTCTTGGGTCCCCACATTTCCCATTCCGGCCAAAGGCAGCGATGCCTCGGAAAGTGCCGTGGCATAGCAGTGGGCCTCCAGAATCTCCCTGGGGAAGCAAAGAGGGTGGAGGTGCCAGGGGATCAGGCTGGATTCTGACCATAGGCAAACCAGGAGGGTCTCTACAGCATTTACTAATAAAAAGACAAACCTCGACTTTACTGAAAATTAGTGCTCGAGAAAATAAAAAAAATGTTAAGAAATGTTTAACTGTTTTAAAAGTGATTTCTGTGTTCATTTACAAACCAGTGGAAGTTGAAGTTAAACTTGTTATCTACCGATTTTGAGATTTGAGTCTCTGCTTTTAGAAAGGCAACCTTTCCTATTTATTTCCTCAAAATACTTCATAAAGTGAAAACGACACAATAATGCAAAGAATGAGAATTAGGTTTTCCAGTCCTTCTAGCAGATAAATGATCTTCTCAAAGAAACAAAATCAAATAGCCCCTTTGGAGTAAAAGTTGGTCTTAGGGGTATATGAAATGAAAAATCCTTGCGAGAACTTGAGGTCCTCCCATAATCATTTTTTCGCTGCTTAGTATAGTGCTTGGTATTTTCAGAACGAGTCTCTTAGACTCTAAGGCAGGGAAGGCTGGCTAAGCTTCATGATAGAGGGGGCTCTGGGTAGGGCCTAGCCTCCAAGGATGATGTTGAATCTGAGGTCCAAAAGCAGGACATTTACGCTCCTGGGTTTTCTAATAGAGAATGTGAGAAAGTGGGTAAGGGAGGGAAAAGAAGAGAAAGTGGAAGGGTGCCGAAAACAAATGCCATCTTTTCCTACCATTTGGCTAGCCTTGGTCCTAAAGGTTGCTTGTGATTCCTGGATATGACAGAGACCTTCAACCTGGTTTGGTGGCTCCCAAACCAGGTACACTACACCTACCCAATAAAACTCTTTAAAATCTTTGGATCCTGGGGCTGGGAAGGTGGCTCAGTGGTAGAGCGCTTGCCTTGCATGCATAAGGCCCTGGGTTTGATTCCTCAGCACCACATAAGCAAAAAGAAAAAAAGCTGGAAGTGTGCTGTGGCTCAAGTGGTAGAGTGCTAGCCTTGAGCTGAAGAGCTGAGGGATAGCGCCCAGGCCGAGTTCAGGCCTCATGACTGGACCCCCCTTCCCCCCAAAACTCTTTGGATCCTAAAAAGAAATATCATGTCAGTACCCAGAGCTTAAAAATGTGTAGTGTTCCCCTCTGGACAGCATCTTTACAATAGAATAAAATTAAAAAAATTAAAAAATGTGCAGTGTTTATTTTACTCTTGTCTTGAATCAGGGCCCTGTCTTTAATCCCTTCCTTTCTCTGGGCACTCTGGGATGGAGGCTGACATGTTCCCTGGTGTGGTCCATGGATAGGGGTTGTTTATGGGGTATCCAGCACAGTTCTAGCATACTGTGGGTCCAATCTCAGGTCCTCAGCCATTCTTGAGAATGGCAGGTTTTCAAACATGTCCAGGCTAGGTGGACTTTCAGGATGATGCTGAGGCGGGATATGAGACCAAAGGCCTTTGAGCAATGCTGATTTCAGCTCTGCTTCATGCCTTTGTATTGTAGATACATATATGGTAATATGAAAAACAAGTATTTTTGGAATTGGCTCTGTGGCTCAAGAGGTAGAGTGCTCGCCTTGAGCTGAAGAGCGCAGGGTCAGCCAAGCCCAGAGTTCAAACCCCACGACCAAAAAAAAAAAAAAAAAAAATGACAAGTATTTAAAAAAAAATAAAACCAAGAAGATGTAGTAAATCATGCACTCTCAGTCACCTTATTTTTAGTGACTCATTTAAGTTGAGTAAATTAGAGGTTTTTTGTCAGACTTCTTTCAAGAAGCAAGGGGACCCTATTAAGCTAATGCCAGGCCAAGATACAGCCTGACATTACTGGTCTGTATCTGTATGTCTTACTCTTCACAGCTAACGCATGGGATCATCTTAGCTTACTTACATTGCATATGTCTTTTCCACCACTGGGGCTTCCTGCACAAATCATATTCAATCCAATCACAGGATTAAAATTATAGTGCTGGTGATCGTTGCAGATTTTCCTGCCTATGATGGTGATATTCGCTTCTCTCAGAGTATCGGACATAGGTGACTTATTATTAGTTATGCCCCATCCTGCAACTTGACACTTGGTTCCTGCTTCTACATCAGCTCCCTGTTTAGGTAGATTCAGGATAGCCACATTTTTGTTAATTTTTGCTTTTCTGTTCAGCTGTGAGAAGACAAGCATAAAGAGTTAACAGAATGAGACAAATATTAACATTTTAGCATAAATTCTAGCCCAACAATCAGACACCTTACATAAGTTTATATCGGTAGGAGCAGCAAGGAAAGTTTTCCATGTAGGGGCCCACACTGTTAGAGGTCCTGCAACTGGAGAAGACAATCGAAGGTACACACCTGTATAAGTTTCAGATCACCCTCATGTGTATCTGGATCAAAGCATGGATAGGGAAACTCTTTCTTAATGGACAGTTTCTGTTTTTCTGGCTCATTCTTGCTCATTGAGTGAGCCCCAAGAATAATCTCAGATGTCTTGGTCCTGGAATAGACACAAAAGCATTTACTGGGTTTATCTTTTAATCAGGAGCTGAGAATATTATGGGTTGATGCATTTGATAGTGTCATTTGTAAATGCTCTTTTGGAGAGCCTTTGTGTCTTGAAAGAAAACGTGTGCTCTAAAGGGTAAAAAGTAAGATGTTTAGAAATCCATTATAATCATTGTCTTAGTACATCTTATGTTGCTATAGCAAAATACCCAAAGCTGGGTACTTTATAAAGAAGAGAAGTTTCTTTTAGTTCTTGGAGCCGGAGTCTAAGGAAGGTATCAGTGTCTTTTTGGCTTCTTCTGAGGATCTCATATTGTGGCAATTCATGGCAGAAAAGTAGAAGGGAAGTGGGTGGGTGTAGAGCAGGGAATTAATAGAAGCAAGAAAATGAGCCAAAGAAGTTAAACTTGCTCTATAACAACCTGATCTCACAGTGACTATGTAACTCTCAAGCCTGTGTTCGACCCTTTGCCATTAATCCCTCATGACTCATTCGCCTTTTAAAGAGCTCATTACCTTTAGTAGGGTCATATTGGATACCAGTATTCTAGCACATGAACCTTTGGGTAATGAACATATCCAAACCATGGTAATCACATTGTCACATCGACCAGCTTGTTTTATAAAAACTAAGTTCATTGATAAACAAGAGAATTTTATGGCAGCAAACCTGGTCTTGTGTTATCTACCATTCCCCTTCATCCTGTTTTGAGAATTAGGCCACAGATCAGAGATCTCAGTACTGTAGAGATAGAAGCAAAATGTTTATAGCTGGGGCTGGGAAGGTGGCTCAGTGGTAGAGTGCTTGCTTTGCATGCATGAGGCCCTGGGTTTGATTCCTCAGCACCACATAAACCGAAAAAGCTGGAAGTGATGCTGTGGCTCAAGTGGTAGAGCACTAGCCTTGAACTGAAGAGCTAAGGGACAGCCCCCAGGTCCAGAGCTCAGGCCCCATGGCTGACAAAAAAGAAAAAGAAAAAGAATGTTTTCTACCTAATATGTGTAAAGTGGTCATTGAGGTGATTTTTTTTTTTGTGGTTCTGAGGCTGGAACCAGAGCCTTGTGCATGCTAAGCCAGTGCTCTAGCCCAGCACTTGGGATCTTCGTAAGAGAACAGCTAATTCATCATGAATGAGAAAACTTCCAGAAATAGATTGCTCACAAGAGCACCCTATTTATGTCTTACAAAGTGTGTGTTCATTGCAGAGATGGTGGCTTGAACAAGGGCCCCAAAGGTTTAATTTTTGTTAAAAAATATTCTTTGATGTATTAATGCAAAACACCCTGTTATCATTCAGGACCTATTATAGTTCATACTTCCTCATGGTCACACCTGCTTCTTTCCATTACAACAGCTGAGATTGAGATCACTTAAATCCATGCTTTCCAGTAGGGCTTACTCTGGACGCTCTATAAATCTGCATGGTCCAATAGAATAGCCACTAGCCACATGTGGCTACTAAGGAGTTGAAATGTGGCTAGTGGCCACATTTACATTAGATTTGTAATTTTGTTCAGCTTAATTTAAATTTGCATAGCCACACATGGCTATCCTATTGGATAGTCCAAATTTAGAGGCATGATTTCAAGGTGAAGAAAAGACCTAGCCTGGAAGAGGCTTCAAGGGTGTAGCTGACGGGGACTAAAGGATGGCTGAAGGAATGAGAGTCATTCACTGAAGGGTAGGAGAAGGCATTGGAAATAAGTTTTCTCTACTTGAGGACTGTTCCCAGGCCCCGGAGGGAGTACACAACTTTGACCATTTTGTGTGTGCTAACCACTTTTCAGGCCATGAGCCCTGAATGTCTAGAGGAGACTTTCAGAAGAGCTGTGGCTTCTTTCTGCTCTCTCCTTGGCCTTATAATTTGGGGGCAGGTCTGGGCTTAAGTTGTTTTAGGGTTGAAGTAAGTTGCCAGAGACCTGGAAATACATATGAATCTCCCATGGCTTAGTAAGATAGACTCTTTTTTTTTTATTATCAACCCAAATTAGAATATCTCTACAAATGAGTTTTAAAAGCCAAGCACTTACAGGGCACAGTGGGCTGCAGTCAACACCCAGTCGTCTGCAATCAAAGCACCAGCACAGAACCTTTTCTTATGGAGTTTAAGTAGGACCATGTAGGGTCTTGAATGAGGAATTACCTGATCTCCTCCAATGATTTGTACACAGCCATCTATTCAGTAGAAAAAGGCAAATCAGGTCAGTATCCACCCCAAAGAGCTCTTCATAAAGCTATGTTTCAAGAACAACTATGCCTCGTGAGCTTTCCTTCCTTCCCTCCCTCCCTCCCTCCCTCCCTCCCTCCCTCCCTCCTTCCCTTCCTTCCTTCCTTCCTCCCTTCCTTCCTTCCTTCCTCCCTTCCTTCCTTCCTTCCTTCCTTCCTTCCTTCCTTCCTTCCTTCCTTCCTTCCTTCCTTCCTTCCTTCCTTCCTTCCTTCCTTGAGAGAGGGGAGAGAGAGAACTGATGAAGCCACTATTCCTTCTTTCTTGGAAGGTACAACTTGTTTTCATGACTTGAGTATCTTTTTGTTTGTTTACCCATTTTTACAGTCTTTCTAAAGAATTTTTTGCTCTACATATCACCAGCAAGAAGCTGAAACAGTTCTGTTATCTTTTGGAAAGGAATTATAAATGAGAAATCTTTTTCTTCTAAAATAAATAAAGATGTATTTTCTTCTAAAATATTTTCCCCCTAAAATAATTATGTGGAATACAAATACAATGTCAATTATGTTAAGCCTGGGAGAAAAATACATTCTATTAGCATAATAAAGTAATATTAACAAAAGCTCAGTGAAAATCTGTTGCATTTCATTTAGTGGTAATGTTTGGAAATGACAAGAGTCAGTCTTACCTTCCGAAATGAGCAGGAGAAATGTGATAATCAAGAGAGATGATGTCAGAAATGCAGAGGAGTTCCTCATCATGGCTGGTGTCACTACATTAATCAACACCAAAATCTGCTTTTTGTTCTTGGTTGCTTCTACCTTTATACTTGAAAGGAAAGGATGTGGTTTCCTTTCTTCTCTTTCTTTTAAATTTCCAGGTTTCATACTAGAAAATGAAACAGAAGTGAGTAAGAGCAGTGAATTGGTGCCTGGTCGATGGCACCAGGGCATCGCTTCCTTTGCTAGGCTCATTGAAGGGCAGGTTGTGATTCTGTCAGGTGCCTGGGGGCCTCATGACCATAGCACAGAGCACTTGAGACGTCTCACTGAGATTTTGAAGACCTTCTCATCAGTGGCAATACAATCTTCAATACCCAAAGTTCAAGCCTTAAAATGGGTAGCTAAGAAACTTTCTAGCTGTTTCTTTTAGTTTATTTAAGAATTAACAGGCCAAGTGCGAGTAGAGATCAAGAAAGAGATTTATGTGCCATGAGCTCTGTTGGGATTTTTTTTTAACTTCCTTGCTCTGTAGAGGAGCGTTTATTGTGTTCCTACCTGGAATCTGTGATAGGTTTAGGGACATGGCATGGTGGGGTAGAGGCTGTTGGCCCTTTCAGCCCTCTGATTGTGTTTTCCCCAAATGTTTAGTACTGGGGCTGGGAAGGTGGCTCAGTGGTAGAGTGCTTGCCTTGCATGTCTGAGGCCCTGGGTTCGATTCCTCAGCACCCCATAAGCAAAATGAAAAAAGCCGGAAGTGGCACTGTGGCTCAAGTGGTAGAGCTCTAGCCTTGAGCTGAAGAGCTGAGGGACAGGGACCAGGCCCAGAGTTCAGGCCCCACAACCGGACCCAAAAAACCCCCCAAAGAACAAAAAACAAAAATAAAAACAAAAACAAAAAACAAAACCAAACCAAATGTTTAGTACTGTAATTCTGGATATTGTATCTAGAGTTTTCCCTTCCTCTCTCCCTTCCCTTTTCCTTCCCTCCCTCTCTCTTTTGCCCTCCCTTCCTCCTTCATCCTCTTCTTCTCTCCCTCCCCTTTCCCTTCCCTCTCTTCTTTCCTCTTTTCCCTCCCTTCTTCTTTTCCCTCCCTCTCTTTCTCCCATCCTTCTGCCTCCCTTCTTTCTTCCTCTTTCTTTACACATTGAACAGAGAAGTAAAATGGGATTTAGATGTAGCTACTTTGTCCCAAACACTGGAGAAGAATCAAGCTCAGTCATGAGAGGCGCAGCATGGAGTGTGCTTTCCATTAGAAACGTGTGTAGCTCTTTTTCCGAACTGAGGATGTGGTTCCTACTATGACACATATATCCTATGGTCTGTCAGGATATGTCTGATGTTGAAATAACCATCCCCATACTTAATACCCTGATGACTTCAGACCTAGTGGTTACTTTCTTGGAAGTCCTATGACTTTAAAAGGGAGCCCTGCTAAGACCCCTGAGTTTCCTTTTCCTAGATCTAGTGCATCAAAGGTTCGTCATTTATAGTAACACAGTGGGATGCCAGCTCTGATTTTGGTGATCAATTTTGTGCAGACTTAAAAAAATTAAACACATGCTAAGAATTTCTTTAAGGAAACATTAACAAGTTTGTTTCTATATACTGATGGCTGCTATTCTTGCATTTATATAGACTTTAGCTACTTTTTGAGATATAATTAATCTTCCATAAAGTTAATTCATTTAAAGTATATACTTAGGATTGGAGGCATGGCTCAGGGGGTATGGCCCCTGCCAATGAGTGGAAGTGTCAGATACCAAGTTCGAGTCCCGGTCTCCAATAAAAAAGTACATACTTCACTAAATTTTAGTATTTTTGCCGAGTTTATAGTCATCACCAGACTCTAACTCTAGAACTTTATCATCTTCCTAAAAAGCTTTGCATTTATTAGCTGTCACTCTCATTAGTCAACTTCTGATCTATTTCCTGTCTTTATATATTTGCTTATTCTGGACATGTCAGACAAATGAAGACTAGCAAGCACAAGACCCTGAGTTCAAATCCCAGTACTGCCCCAAAAGATAGATGGAATGTGATCTTTTTTTTTTTTTTTGGTTGGTCCTGGGACTTGAACTCTGGGCCTGAGCCACAGCGCCACTTCCAGTTTTCTGGTGGTTTATTAGAGATAAGAGTTTTATGGCTTTTCTGGCCTGGGCTGGCTTTGAACCACATCCCTTAGCTCTCAGGCTCCTGAATAGCTAGGATTACAGACGTGAGCCACTGGCGCCTGGCTGGAATGTGATCTTTTGTGTCTTAGTTTTTTTCCTCTTAGCATTATGATTTTGAGGTTCATCCACATTGTAATGTGTGTTAGTATTTCATTTCTCTTTATTGTCAAATAATTTTCCATTATATGGAAAAGTACATTTTATTGATGGACATTTATTTGGCTTATTCAGTTTAGCTATGATCTGAACATAATGGTTTTTTTCTCTCCTGCTGGTCATGGGGCTCAAACTCAAGTTCATTGACTTGCATTCTGTATGAAGGAGGGGGGACTAGGTAGTCAGGAGATGCTAGCTTGGTGCTTTCTTCTGCAGCATTCACTTCTATGGCTGAGTTCCCTACAATGTGAGTGCTTAATGATGCTTTCTAAATTAAGTTTAGTGCTATGTTTTTGGGTTAGTATTATTGCAAGTAGTTTTTTAAAAATTATATTACACATTGTTTTGTACCTACCACATGTGTAAACAGATTTTTCTTTTCTTGGTTTCTGTCTTTTACTCTCCTCTTTCTTTCTCTCGACATTTCTCCCTTCCTCCTTCCCCTTTCCCTTTTTCTCCCCCCTCTATAATTTTACTCTAGTAGAGTAAAAGTGGTGAATACATAGAAATACTTAAAAAGATTACACAGTGATTCTCAAATTTGTGTCATTAGAATAACACAAATTGCACTAGGAATGTGGTTTAGTGGTAGAGTACTTGCCTAGCATGCATGAATTGCTCAGTACCACATAAACAGAAAAATCCAGGAGTGGCACTGTGGCTCAAGCGGTAGAGTACTAGGCTTGAGCAAAAGAAGCTCAGAGATGGTGCCCAGGCCCAGCACTGGCAAAAAATAAATAAAGAAAAAAGAATAACCCAAATTGCTTAGTTAAAATGCAGATTCCCTAGCTCCACCTTGGAAATTGTGGTTCAAACAATTTTCAGTAAGTATGCTAAGTGATTTTGGTGTAGGTGGTCCCCAGAGCAGTCGAGGTCACTCTAACCTGAGGATAATCTGGTCTGTTGTTGCCCGTCTTGCCGTCATTCTGGCAGGGGCTATTTCACATAAGAGTCCTTTGATACATGGTATGGGTAGATAGCCTGGAGGACCAAGAGACCACAGACTAGAGGCTACAGGATGCGGGGAGAATGCGTTTGTAGAAGTTATAGCGAGGCAGCCATGACTTTGCTCTAATCCCCAAAATTAATTTTTTTGCTCTTCGCTTGGCATCTGAAGTAGTTCTGGATCATGAGTCAAGATACTGAAATTATTCTTGGACTGTTATAGATGAAAATATTCCTTATTACTAAAGCATGTACCTGTGTAAATAAGAACAACCGTAGCATCCCTTTTTGTTTGTTTGTGTCGGCAGTACTGGAGTTTGGAGTTAGAGCTTTGTGCTTGCTAGGCAGGAGCTCTACAGACAGAGTCAAACTTCATCCAACCTTTGCATCTTAGCAAGGTGTCCTTTGGGGGCAGTTAGTCTATTTATAAAGAAATGCAGCACATTATCTTGGTTTTCTGAGCCCCATGTCAAGCTAGCTCTCTGAGCAATCATTTTGCACTGAATACAACTGACTATAAATGCTAAGCTTATAAGTTCTTAATGGCTCTTACTTATTTGTTTTTTTTCTTTTTATTATTATTTATGCAGAAAATGAAGGAAATAATGGGAAGAGGAAGGCTACACAATGTGTTATTCAGCTAAAGAAGAGAATGATGAATGCCACCAACAGGGAGAGACAAATATCGAAGGTATCAACTACACTTTTAATCCAGGCTGAATTCATGCCAGGACCTCTTTTAAAAAATTTTTTTTTTGTCGGTCGTGGGGCTTGAACTCTGGGCCTGAGCACTGTAGGACCTCTTTTTTTTAAGCAAGCCAACTTAGCTTTCTCCATGCAATTATTTTTGAGGAAACACAGTTAAAATGAGTAAAAGCACGAATGATACATGGTTCTTGCCATCAAAGAGCATTAGCAGTAGGAAGATGGATGAAACAAATCTGTGCAGAGATACATAAAAGATGACAGTGCTCCAAGATGCCTGGGGAGAAGGTACAGGAGAAACATTAGGAACTGAGACCTCTGAGGAATTGCTGTTGGCAGGGAGGTCATAAAGTGTTCATGAAGAAAGAATTTTTCTCTGAAGGAAATTGGGAGGTGTATAAAATTTAACAGGGGATGCTAGAGGAAATTGCAGGTTAGTTATGATGTAAGTAAAAGGTAGCTTTGATAGGGATTACAAAAATCAAACATGGCATCCAGAGACAATTAAATTTAGCTTAAGCATCTTTCATGTTTAAATATGTGTGAGCTCCAGATTTGATTGTATCTTAGAGCCAATCCTTAACATTTTAACTGTTAACAAAGTGATTTTTTTTAAAACTCTAACTTGAACTATTATTCTCCACTAGTTACCCTACCTTCTATAAGTCTTCACAATCCCTCGGAATAAATCTATCTTGAATCTTTCCCAAAGAATGGAAATACCTTTAGCATATCTGTTTCATTCCTGTCTTCCTGTCTTGGTTCAAAATGCAGGTAGGAAGAGCCAGGTAATTTCTTAAACTTCGAGAAACAAAGAGATTAAAGACCCACTATCATGTTGTATCATGTTGTTGTCAGAGCAGAGTGGGTAGCAGCCCCTTCTCCTAACCCCCAGCCATCCATAGACTGGTCATCTTCACTACAAGGGGGATTGTCTCAGTCCCAGGTTAGATATTGTGATCTTAAAAATCTTACAGTGTCTCACGGCAAAATGATCCTTTGTACTTACAATGTAATATGTTATGTTAAAATGGAAGCCAAGATATCAGCAACTGTAGTAAGTGTCTCTGATTTACCGTTTCTAAACATCTTTGCTTGACACAT